TTACTGTTTACTAATTTCTACACTTTCATAGGCATTTAGATGCCTGTTGTTGTTAACTTGTCTAACTAATCTCAATGAACTAACGTCTATGGAATAGTTAGATTAGTTAGACAAGTTAACAACAGGCATCTAGATGCCTATGAGAGTGTAGAAATAAGTAAATAATATTATGAATAACTATGGTGGACCAATACCTAATAGTATACTATATAGCTTGTTGAAATAATATTTTATTATCAGATTTACCTGACTGTAAGATATTGTGAAATTAATTTAAGACTAGTAGATCTTTATCTGTAGAGTAGGGAGGGTGAGTGTAGGCCCGCAGCACATAGGCCACATGTGAAACATTGTGCACAGTCCCGAGGAATTGTCCTCCTAGTCCTCCACCATCCTGTCTTTTCCAGGAAGGTGGACAGGTTACTAGGAGACATCTCCTTTATATCGGCAGGTGTAGCCCAAAACTCTACAAACACACACTCTCTTATTGACGATAACTCCGGACACTCGCATAGGACATGCCTGACAGTTTCATCTTCCTGATCACACATCCTGCGTAGAGGTGTGTCCACTAGCCCTATATTATGGGGGTGTTTTCTTAGTTGACAGTGGCCAGTTAGAAATCCTACTGTTAAAGCTTAGGTTTTTCATGGTCAAGACTGCATCCTTCGATTCCATCCCATCTCTTTAGGGATTGAGCATAGGTGTAACGTTTGGCTAGTTCCGCAATTGTCGAAGTCATTAAGTCCTAAAATTCTTAGTCCAGCCGCTTCCTTGGCTAAAGAGTGGGCAATGCGATTACCTTTACTCCTGTCGTGCCCTTTAACCCACCTCAGGATAATGTTATTATCTACCGAGGCTTTGGCTAAATCTTGGTGGCACTCTGTTACTATCCCTGAGGTAACACGTTGTCTGTTCAAGGCTAATAGGACTTGTCTACTATCAGTGCAGTTTATGTTTTTGCCAGAAATTCCGTTCCTGGTTATTCCTTTTGTGGCAATTGAGATACCGGTCAGTTCTGTTTGAACGACGCTGATATTTTTTCCCATTCCCCACTCAATCCTTAGGCTTAGTGATCTGGAGTAAACTCCACATCCTGAGCCTTCTTTGGTTTTTGAGTCGTCTGTATTTATGCGTATTGCATTTATAGCATCTGACTCTGTGTTCTGTTTTATTTGTATTTTGTAGGGTTTATTAAACACAAACCTGGGTTCAATTGCTGGCTCTCTGCAGCAGAGGTTGCGCAGTACGCGCTTCTCGCCATAGGCTCAGCCTCAATTGACCCATTCCTACTTCGAGGTTTACACCAGCCGTGCCCAATCGTGACATGACCATTAACGCATCATCCTTAACGTACAGGTCCAGAGGGGTAAGACCAGTAATTAGTTCCATTGCAGCGGTTGGTGTTGTTCTCATGGTTCCAGTGACGTTTAAAGAAGCCAATCGCTGTATTTGATAGAAATTTTTGGATGGCCGTTGTTTGTAGAACTTTCGATCCCCATGCAATGGCTCCGTACGTTAACATAGGTCTTATCATTGCAGTGTAGATCCAGGTGACCACACGAGGTAAAAGACCCCATGTGCGTCCCACTGTCCTCCAACATTGCTCATAAGCCACATATGCTCTACTCTGTAGGTGAGAGTTCCATGTTAGCTTCCTGTTGAGGGTAGTACCAAGGTATTTCACCTCTTCAGAGAAGTTCAGTTTGCTTTTGAAGATTTCAGGAGGTTTCAAGCCTCCATGTAAAATTATATAATTTATGACATTTAAGACGCAAGTACCTAGCAGGTACCTAGTTTAATCTTCCTCTTGAAGATGATCACTTGGTGATCGAAACGCGTGTCGAGGTGTTAAAATAACGGTTTGGTGTTGGGTAAAAACTCCAGTAATAGTCACTAATACATTTGGTGATTTGAAGATCAATTCGCTTCAGGATCCAAATTGTTTTTCGCGTACTATAGTTTTTGAAAGGATATCTTGAATTTCTAATAATTGTGAACTACCATCTTAAAATTTCTTGAATGTACAAACATTTCGTTTTTCGAAAATTCTACCACTACTGAAGGATTTCGTAAATATTACAGAAAGCGTTATTTCGATAAAACAGTATCTGTTGTACCCTTCAAGTATAAGTATTCAAATTTTTTTGCATTTAATTTTTTGTTTCATACTACACCTGACATCGCTGATGAGACTGAATTGAAGCACTAGACGTTATTCCACAATTTCTGAGCGATGCTTATGCGATGGTTTTTTGTTCTAAACGGAAAATTGATCTTATTTTTTGAACCGACCTCGTACTTGATATCCTGTCTGGATATTTTTTGAAAAATCGATAAAACAAAGTCCCCCAAAGTGATACATTTATTTTGAATGTGCAACAAGTGTATGTAGAACGTAGGTTTACGATGAACATTCAATAGTATTAGATATTTTTTTTATTTTGAAACGGTAAAATTTGAAGTCATCTCCCCAACTTTAATTTACTTACAGAAAACGCGGACTGACAGCATTAAGACATGTTTCAGTCTCAGCTAGAACCGTTTCAATTTGATGAAAAAAAAAAGAGATTCATATGAAAATTGTAATAATTGTAATAACCCAACGAAACAAAAATATGGCTATAGTCCTAATTCGGTGTGAACTATTGATGATGTCCAATAATGTACGTTTATGCAACAAAAAATCCGCAAGACTAAATGTGCAATTATTGTAGTTGTCGCAATAATATCTTTTTTTCCAATGAGTCAATCAAAACACGGTTTGAATCTAAATTGAATCTAAAGATGATGACATTCGTATCACATTATTCCTTATCCAACTAAGTAGTTTCATAATCAAGCTTCATTATGCACATGTACATTTCTCTTCAAATCATTCTAATCGGGCCTTTATTTGGGATCTAGGCGGGTTGACCTTTGTTGCAGGATGAGAATTTGAATTTTAAATTGTATATGTGCTTGTATTTAAATAAAATAATATAATGCTATTGTAATTTCTGAATATTGAAAGTGTTGCAAATATATTCAAAGTTCTTCAAAGTAGTTTTCCCGTTGCAGCAGTTGTATGAACAACATGATAAAAAGTATAAAAGGGAAAAAAGGTTTTAATGAGACTTTTACAATATGATTTAAAACATCGAAAACATCAAAATTTCTAGTTATTGATCAAAAAGTATATTCTAATTGTAAAGAAGAAAGTAATACAAATCATAAAATTATGAAACAACAACAAAAATTAATTGGTGTTCCGGAGCGACTTTATTGATTCCAGTGGCGCATTTGCTTCTCCAGCTGCAGAAAACCCGGAAAAACCTGCATCTGAAAAACCATCATCTGAAGATCTTGATCTGCTAATGTCCTCTCTTATAAAAAAAATGTAGGGTGTCTCCAGAGGCTCCAATAAATTCAATGCATCGCCAGAACACTTCGTGACACGACTATCGTCAAACTTAAACCAGTCCGTTTCGTCTTTGACCAATGTGTAATAATGACCAGATGCAACGCCAGAACCACAGTAAACAATGACTGCATGAAGATTATAATAGTAGTCTTCTAGATTGAAGTTTTCATCTATTTCGAATCTCCGTAAGAGTTTGGTGCTTCCGTCAGAGGTTGAGTCATGTTTGAAGATCTTCAGTGTTATTATTAGATTGACTGGTGCCTCAGATATACTTGTTTTCTTATAATAAATAGTCATTTAGTTTGGCGCATGTTTGGCAATACAGTTGATCATCACCCGTTAAAAGTTCCATTTTCAGATAATTTAACAATAAGCTGTGCACGGACTGGTTATAAGTCATATTAGGAAACGCTAGTTGAATTTCCAGAAAATCACTCAAGTTTTCGCTTCTTCTTGAACATTGACTACAAAGTAAACAAGTGAGGATTTTTCCAGCAAAAGATCTACATACACAAGACGAGATAGACTGTACGGAATCATTCAATCTAGAGCGGACAGCAGTATTGATTCTGCTATTTTTTTTTCTCACGAAGATTATTTTACAAGAACATCAAGAATTCGGAACAATCCTCTTGTGGTCCTAACGAGTATCTAGTGGACTTTAAAGACTCCAGGAAATCGGTTGGTGGGAAAGATGATACATTCTTACGAAATTGCAACTGCACGAACAATTGTTTGAGTTTCATGAATAAGTAGGAAACATTCTCGTTTTCGTCCATGGTTTAAATCTCGTTCTTGAAATTCTTTGTCATGAACAACATTTGTAAAATGCTATTCATATAGCGTTTTCTAAATTATCTATTTCAGTTTTCTTCGCAAGATTTTGAGGACAACTGTCTACTGATTCGCAAGGAAAAACATGTTTCACAAAACCATTTCTCAAGCTGCAATCGATCCTTCCAAGTGATGAAGGGTTTCGTAGAGAGATCGATTCGGTTTTTCCGAATCTTCCACTGAAAGGTAACCAGAATCACGAGGACTGCAGCTAATATTTGGGGGGCAAGAATGACCACACTAAAAAAAGAATAAGGTGGATCACTTGCGAATTAACCTTGATAGGAGAATGATGAATATACACATATCTCGGCTTGTTTCGAAGAGGTTTTAGTTCCGTACTGAAATGAGTGCAGTGCATGATCTCATCAAAATTATGTGAAGGGGGAATAGTTCCAAGGACCGAAGCAGCATTACCGCATTGAATAGCAATTAGCAATACTAATTCTTTATATAAAAAAAGAGGTAGAACGGTAATCTTTCGTTGCTTGGCCTATTCTCCTTTCGAGTTCAAGAAAGAATAACAGAGACTCCGAGCCATAAACACCAAAAGTTTCAACTGCTACTGGATGGAACAGACAGTTGTTTCGAAAATTTTGGTATCTTTTACGTTTTAATTTTTCTTCACTAAAGGAACATCAGGTTTCAAAAAATCAATTCAATTAAAATTGCTGTATTGCTGAGTTTTCACTTGTGCATCTCCATAAAAATACCACCTCAATAGTATAATATTTCCTATATTTATGTATATTACACATTACAGGTTGAGCAGATGAGATTGAAGGAGAAGTCGAATAATTCCCTCAAATCGCAATTCCAAAAGGCTGTGGAGCACCTTGCAACTTGCAGAGCGAAGAAATGTTCGGTTTGTGCACACATCAAATCGGCTTATCGGAAAATGTCTCCGAATAATCGTAAAGAGTAAGTTAATTTTGAATAAATTTGAATTGTTGTACAAATTTTGTATTGTGACCCTTTACTTGATGGAAGGTAATAGAGTCAGAGTCAGAAATGCTTTGTTGTCATAAAAGTTTAGGTTTTGTTGACAAAGCAGGCTTAAGAACTTAAACAATCTGAAACATCAACATAAAAGTCAAGAATTTAAAACAAGATATTAATATGGCTCAAGCACACTTGAAAAAGTCTATGGTGAAAGTCAGAGATAAAAAATTTTATAAGTTGCAATTATATGTTGCGAAGTCATCCGAAAGAAATTCCTCATTACCATAATAAGCTTTATCTAGCAGAAGTTTTTTACTCTTTTTCGAAACTGTTTGTAGCATGTTAACTTTATGATTGAAGGGGGGAGAGCATTGATATATTTTTTGCTATTATAAAGAATCGAATTTTTAATTTATGCTGGGATAGGAAGAGGAATATCAATCAATCAATCAATCAATCAATTTATTCATTGTAAATGAAACATTACAACGTCGTTATTTCCTTAGTATTGAAATTAAAATACATATACACAGAGATGCACAGATCAAAATAAAATAAATATATACAAAATTATCATGCACATGTAAACCTACAAGAGATTTAGTACATGTATTATTCATTTATAAAATCTTCTATTGAATAGAAACATTTTTCAATTAGGACATTTTTCAGCCAGATGGAGAATTCATTTGAGTGTTTCTTTTTTACAAAGTCTGGAATTTTATTATATAATTTTGCGCCCCAATAATCGCATCCTTGCTGTGTTTTCTTCAATCGATGAAGAGGAACTTGCAGTAAATCTTTATTTCTGGTATCATAAGAATGATTGAGTACATTTTTTGAGAACATCTCTGGATTTGCGTGAACATATTTTAGACAACTATATATATATGCACTGGGAATGGTGAGGATTCTATGTTGACGAAAAGCCTCTTTGCAGCTATCTCTATATGCAAGTCCGCATAGAATTCTGATGACTTTTTTTTGCTGAACAAATATTTTGTTTGAATCAGAACTTGTGCCCCACAAAAGGATTCCGTAAGTTGCTATGCTGTGAAAATTTCCTTATTTGTACCTTCCAATTTAGTTTTGAGTCCAGATGTATTCCAAGGAATTTTAGTAATTTTTCCTCTGTATTGTTTTTGCTTGACATCATTAGCCTTTGAGTTTTTTCTTTGTTTAGCAGGAGTATATTTGCCGTAAACCAAATATCTGCTTCGGCTAGAACTTGCTCTGTCTGTTGTCTTATGTCACCTTCATCTTTGCCTTTAACTAGAAAAGTTGTATCATCTGCATATGCACTTGATGCATAAACCTTGATATTTTCGAGAAGATCGTTTGTGTAGATGATAAACAGAATTGGCCCTAAAATAGAACCTTGAGGCACTCCTTGAGTTACCGGAATTGTCTGAGATAGTGAATTTTTCCACCATGTCGATTGAAAACGATTTGACAGGTATGACTTGAGCAGTTTATACGAAATTCCTCTTACTCCATAATATGATAATTTCTCTAACAGTATTTCATGGTCAACAGTATCGAAAGCTTTACTCAAGTCACAGCTTAATATCTGGGAGTCCTCTTGATTATCAATGGCATCTATGATTTTTTGAATATTTTCTTTCATTGCTGTCATTGTAGATTTTCCTTGCTGATATCCATGCTGAGAGCTGTTGAAAAATGCTGAACTGTCAAAGAACTGGACTAATCTTTTTTTGATTACCATTTCGAAAATCTTTGATATTACTGGTAGAATTGAAATGGGTCTAAAGTTATTTGGAATATCTTCCCCTTTTTTAAAAACTGGTATAACTTTTGCATGCTTTAGTTCATCTGGAAACACCCCTTCGTTTATGCATTTATTAATTATTAATGCAATAGGTTGCGCTATTACATCACCTAAGTCCTTCAAAATTGTAGTTGAAATTCCAAATATATCTTCAGTTCGTTTACGTTTAATTTCGTTTAAAAATTTTTTAATTTCTTTTTCATCCGCTTCAGAAAAATAGATATTGAATGTGAGACGAGTGGCATAACTTTGAGTTGAGTTCGAGATGTTATTTTTATTCTTTTTGTGCATTAGGCAGACTGTTTCTAAAATAAAGAGGCAGTAGACTGTTAAGTTGCTGAGTTTCCAATAATTTTATTGGACCCCACGGGACATCCTTTCCGGGGTATCCTTTCCAAAGCTCTGGTCTATAAGATATATTCCTCACAGTCGTGGGGGCTGTGGAGAATTAAAAAAAAGGGGCTTACAGGAATCTTGGACTCTAGCTCCGGTAATAAATCTCTCTGCTCTTTTTTGTATTGTGAAAACTTGATTCATTAAGTTTTGACAGCTGCTCCCCCAGAAACAAACTCCGTACCGCAAGTGGGATTCGAAAAGTGCAAAGTATGCTTTTCTAGCAGAGAGATACTCCAAAGAGTTGGAGATAGACCTTGTCGCATAACAACTTGATGATAATTTTTTGCTTAGTATACTAATATGTGTTCCAAATTTTGATTTGTTGTCTATTGATATTGTATAGGGAAACGTGTGTTGCGTTTTCGTAAAAGTGTTTAGTGAAAATCTCACAATAAAGTGTTTCTCAAATATAGATAATTTTTATTCCTACATTATATATAATTATGTGCCATCAGCGACTTAGCTCCTATGAATCTTTGAAAATAATAAAATTAATGAAATTTCAAAGTTACCACTTTCACAATCTTAATGGTCATTTACAAATTTCAACTTGATCATCAGTTTATTAGTTATTCAGAGAGCATCATTCCTCCAACGACTCCAATAATCAGAGTAACCATCTCAAGAGAGTGGTCTGGATAGAGTATGCGCAGTTTGAAGAGAAAATCTCAATACTTCATCCGCTTTATTTCCTTTTTTCGGACGATATTCGCTTCACCGGCAGCTGAAAACTCCACGACTTATATCGTCTGGTTCTTTTAGTCGGAAAGAACTGCCTCAGGTTTATTAGCTTGTATGAGTCTGAGGTTGGGGAATGAATGTCATTATTATTTTTTTACCGAAGTATACGCTGGTCAGGCCCTATCCCCCGAAGCCCCGATACATTCCGGCTAAGATTTCTGCCTTAGTGCGGCAGGTCGGTGTGATTTTAAGATTCAAGAGTAGAGAGGGTCATTCCACCAAGGACTCAAATAATCAGAACAATCATCTTGACAGAGTGGTCTGGATAAAGTCTGCGGAGTTCGAAGAGAAAATCTCGATATTCTATCTGTTTTTCCTCCTCTTTTCGAACGATATTCGTCTCGCCAGGACAAATATCGTCTTGCTCTGGTGGTCGAGAAGGACTACATCAGGCTTATTAGCCTGAGGGTGGGGAACGTTGCCCACAATGGATTCAATATCCCCCGGAGCGTAGGCAACACCGGTGTCTCGTCAGTACCGTAAGAGTGCCATATATGGTAATATAGCACTCTAAGGGCTGCGTTATGTCGATGGATATAGACCGAGACCGTATATGCTGGACATGCTAATAGCAAGTGCATTAGGGTTTCGTGCGCCTCGCGGCAGGCAGGAACTTCTATCTATACCCATCACGCGACTGTGGTAAACTAAGGTGTTGAAGACACCATCCTGACAAGTCATGATGAACCCCTCAGTTTCCGACTTCAGACCACTCGACCTGAGGAAAGGGAAAGTCAGGCGCTCTGATAAGCCAAGGTCTCCAATGTTATTGAAGAAGACCCCATGCATTGGTAAATCCTTGTTTTTCCGCAGAAGTGAGGTGATCTCTGTAGCTTTTATATCAGCTTTTTGCTGAACGGGTTCCAACTCGGTGACAGAATTGTGATCAACTCGTTCAGTGTCGAAAATTAAACCGAGTTCATCAGCTGCTCGGACAGTTGCCCTAAAGAGAAATGCTCCAATTCCTGCTCTCTCATGGTCACGGACCATGCAAGGAAAGGTATCCGAACTCCTGACGACTTTACCGGCTATATCCAGTACCATTCTGTCATGTAGACACTCCAAACTGAAAAGTCCACGGCCTCCCTGTTGTCGGGGGAGGTACAACCGTGGAACGGACGATTTAGAATGCAAAATCCTATAGAGATGCATCATTTTTCGGGTCTTTACGTCGAGTTGATACAGCTCCTCCCGAGTCCACATCACTACTCCAAACGAGTAGAGTAAGATTGGAACGGCAAGCATATTTGTTGCAGCGACTTTGTTCTTCTCCGACAGTTCCGATGACCAGATCTGTCGAAGTTTGTGCTGATATTTGCCGCAGAGAGAGTTCTTCACTGCTGTTACCCCTAGCTATGTAATATTTTTTGTGTGAAACAGTATGATCTGGGTAAAGTGAAACACTGATCATAACTCATGCTTTTCCTCCTATTTGATTTCAGGCGAAAATTATTTAGTTGCCTTCAAACACCATTCCTCGAGATGCGTAACATGATCAAACCTCCCCCATCACCCATACACAGCGACGGCGAGAACCTTTCCGAATGGTTTTGCAACATGGAGAGCATCGGCCCGAGTGAATGTTCCTCCTTGAACGTGCCGTTCTCCGCAATGTCCCTTTCCTACATGGACAATGTCTCCGATTCTTCCAGCTTCACCCGTGATGACGATTTACTAGGCGGGTTGAATCCAGATAACCGAAATAGTTTTAGAGGTAAGGGTTTGAATGGTTTTACTTGACTCGTCTCCCGGAACCGTAGGACCAATATTAATAATTTTCCCAGAGGGTTGAAAATACGTCCAAAGACGGGTGCTCTGGCTTGCGCAAGACATGACCACTTCGGACCTTTAATGAAAAAATATTATTTAAACTTATTAAATATCAAAATTAAGAATTGACAAAATTCTGGCCCCTTCTGTATAAATTAATGAACAATAAATCGCGGTAAAATAATTTTTATCGGTAATCAACAATTTTTTTCTACTTGAATAGGAACATCGCAAGTGCGATAATTGTTAAATAACAAATCTGAGATTTTTCTTGTTGAAAATATGAAAAAAATTGTTATTTTTCAATTCGTCATCAACAATTTACAACGACAATTACAACAATTTCAAAATTAAAAAGGTTCAAAATTCATTGAAAATATATTTTTTTAAAATACTAAAATACTATTGATCCGTTTTTATGATCAGAAGCTACATGGAAATATTAAAAAAACTGCAAATTAAAAAAATGCCATAAACGAATGCATAGTTTTTTCATCGTATCTCAATTAGTTTGTAAGTTATTATAAGTTTATACATTTGAAACCATGTGAGAATTATGGAACTAATAAATTTTCAAAATTCGATATAGAATATGAATACATTGTTTTTTCCAAGAAATAATATGTGTTTTTTTTTGTTATATTGTGTGGAAAGAGAAAAAAAAATATAGAAAAATGTAATGTTAAAAAAAGTCATTTTCGTGTAGCTTCTGATCATAAAAATGCTTATTAATTTTTAACCAGAGTAAATTGTTGATAACAAATTGAAAAACAACAATTTTTTTTTCATTTTTCCAACGGGAATCTATTCCGACACCTTTCATAAATGGTTATTTAACAATTATGGCATTTGCAATGTTCCTGTTCAAGTAGAAAAAAATAGTGAATCAATTGATGCATAATAAATGCACAATAACAATTTTTTGACCATGGCTTATTGTTCATTTATTTATTCAGTAGATGCCTGAATTTTCTTAATTTTTAATTTTGATATATTTAATGAGTTGAAATAATATTTTTACATCAATACCCGTTTCAATAATACCTGCTCAGGGCGTATTTTCAACCCTCTGGGAAAATTATAGATATTGGTCCTACAGTTCAGGGAGGTGGAACTTTTGTTGGGAAATTTCCTCCTCGTTTCGAACTTCTTTTCAAATTTTAAAAATGTCAAATAGTTTTTGAGATACTTGCAAAAAAACAAACCCCAGTTTTTTCAGTTGATTGTTTATAACTTTTGCAATTTTTGCAAGCAACACTTTTTTTAAAAGAATCTTTTGATCTGAAAGGAACTTGTGAACTAAACTATAACCAAATACTGCAATTTTGAATGAATAATTTAAAATATAAATTCGATTTTGATATCTCGTTACTGGATTATTCGAAGGCGTTTGATCGCATCAACCATCAACTCCTATTAGCAATCATACACTTTAATGGCTTCACCAATAGTGCATCAATGTTGATCAGAAGTTACTTAACAGATCGTATTCAGCTAGTTAAATCTGGGGATAAATGTTCTATACCTCTAAGTCTCTCGACCGGTGTCCCTCAAGGTTCCATTTTGGGACCTTTATTATTCATGATGTATACTTATTGTCAATCTCATTACTATGCAGATGACACGCAAATTTATTACACATTTCATCCAGAAAACGTAAATGAAGCTAGCTCTATTCTCAATGAAGACCTTAATAGGTTGAATAACATATCAAAGGATCACTGTCTGCTAATCAATCCTGTCAAGTCCAAGTTATTAATTTTTGGTAACAGGAACAACAAGAATAAACTTGATCAAATTAACATCAAAATTGGTACAGAAGACATTGAAGCCGTGAGCTCAACAAGAAACTTAGGTGTAGTTCTGGACACAGAGTTGAGGTTCAGTGCACATGTAACGAAATACATCAAAAATGCATATTGTAACCTCAAACTGGTATCAAATTTTTCAAAAATTTTAGATGTTGAAACAAAAAAGATATTGTGTGAAACCTTAGTGTTGAGCCACTTTAACTTTGCAAATATGGTGTATTACTCTAGTTTAACCAATCACGATCAAAATCGTATTCAGATTGTTCAAAATGCATGTGCCCGGTTCATTTATGGAATAAGGAAACGTAATTAAATTTCTCATAAAATTAAAGAATCGAATTGGTTAACTATGAAACAAAGATGGTTACTACAGACAAGTTGTTTTATACATAATGTAATTCAAAAGAAAGTACCTATTTACTTATACAACAAACTTTTATTCAGACACGACGTTCACGCATTTCATACCAGATATCGATACCGCCTTACCCCTCCAATACACCATACTTCACTATACCAAAGATCGTTTCTTTATAATGTTACAAAGATCTATAATGTCATTCCTGACTCGTTAAAAACCATGAATAAATCTGTTTTCAAGTACTCACTGAGAAACATGTTATTTGAGGATAGACTTCAAACATAAGTGTTGTGCCACGAAAGCAAGAGTTAAAAGTCTGATCAATAATAATTGATGTGCTTTCTGCCTTCAAGCTTCTCCCTTTGTTTTCTTGTTTTGTTTTTATCACTTCCTTTGGAACCTTCATGATCTAATTACTGTTAGCACCCTAGCATTAATCTGATTCTCATTCACGCAGTTAAAAACATTTATATTACTATAATTTTTGATTTGTAAAAAATATATATTTTTTCGTGACTTCAAGTTACACTTGTAAAGCCTGTGAACCTCTAGATTTCTGCTATTCCGGATTTTCTGGTTTCTCCTCGCTGTGTGTGTTTCTTGTGCTCAGCAATGCGAACTTTCAATAGCCTCTTAGTTTCACCGATGTATGATTCTCCGCACTTGCAGGGTATCCGGTAAATGCAATTCTTGGAATCGCAGTCCGCGTTTGGTGGCCTGGTTTTCGTGAGGCTTCTCTTCCTTGTGGAGTTCTTGCTGTCTTCTAGCTAAGGCCTGTTCTACCATCACTTTGGAGTAATTTTTATTTTTTCATTTTTTGTTAATAATATTTTTAAATTTTGCAATTTTTTCAGCTTTTATTGATATTTCGATTTTTATTTGTTTGGTTGTTGTTGTATGTTATTTCTTTGTGATTTCAGTTTTTCGTTTAATAAAATTGTTATTTTCGGTTATTCTTTTTGATTTTTTTCAGGATTATCAAATCAATTTATATTATATTAGACAATGGAAGTCAGAACTGATGAAATACACCACGAAACATTGTCAACCACCTTCAAACAAACATTGTAAAAGTCTTGTCACATCTTTCTAACGCTATATCCTTAGTTAAGACAAGTTTTCAACAGATAATGAATTTTTCTATTCTCACGTCAAAACACTCTTATCTACCTTCCGTAATGTCTCTACCAGCAAATAATTTCACCATTTTCGATTGAGAGCGATTTTCTGTTATTGGTAGATCTCCATTATTACTTATTTCTGAGCCCTCGTATATTGTTCTTGTTAGGGAAAACAGAATATGCTGTTGACTGTTGGAATAAAATAATACCTTGAAAACGTCAAAAGCATATCTTTTAATTTCCTATTTATAAAACAAAATCCATCCCAAATATTAAATTTTTTGGCGACCGTACGGGACATATTAGTAATGGACAATTTGAAAAAAGATAGACAGCAATTGAGACGACTTTTGAAGAAAACGACAAAAGATCTTGACGATGGATTAAAGTCGACGAGACAATTATTTGGTGTCCAGAGAGCAGAATGAGGTACATATACCATGGCGGGAAGATTATTCTACAATTTTATATTTCATAATTTGCATTACTTTCAATAAAACTGATTTTCAACAATGAATAAGTAGCCTGGCCAAGAAGAATGTCAACAACGAAGAAACTCAAAACTATTGATAATTTGAAGAATTACGACAGACTTTTGATAAAATGGGATGAAACATCACCAAACAATAATTCAGAACAATTAGAAGTAATAGTTTTTGTACAACTACTACTAGCTTAGTCAAGAAAATGAACTGGAGTTTGAATGCTCCGTCAGCTTCTTGGTGGGGAGGATGGTGGGAGCGAATGCTGAGTATAATAAAGGAGCTATTGCGGCGGAATTTTGGAAAATCCTCAAATACTTGAAAGGCAACTACAAACACGACCACTGACATATGTATCTAATGATGAAGATTTCTTGCCTATAATACCTTCCATGTTTCTCAATACAAACTACGACACGGAGATTCCTGAATTGTACATAGAGCATAGACGACTTTTGATAAAAATATTGAATTATATACAGAAGCTCTCAGCTTCTGTAACGGTTTTCGAAGTCGAGTCAAGAAAGAGTATCTATCAGAATTGGTGGATACTGGTCAAAAGCGAATAAGTAATCTGAAAGTAGATGATATTGTTATCATTGAAATGGATAACACGAATCAAACTAACTGGCCTTTAGGGAAAATTTTGAAACTATTTCCTGGAAGAGACGGAGTCGATAGAATAGCACGAGTCAAATGGAAACGCGGAGAAATAATTTGTCCAATTCGCAGAGATCATTTAATCGGGAAATTGAATCTGGGGAAAAAGTGATAGAAAAAAAAATTTAGAGAAGAATGAAAAAAAGAAGGACGAGAAAGAAAATGATGAGCAGAGCTTCAAAGAGAAGAAAAAAGAAGTCTGTCAAGACCCAGCTGTCACCAGATACGGCCGTGAAGTGAAGAAACCAGATCGCTATGGATTCTGATTGTTGCTTTTATTTCATTTTTGATTTGTTTTGCAATTTTTTCTTGAATCCAATTGGAAATGGGGGGAGAATGTTGCCATTATTACTCATTTCTGAACCTTCGTATATTGTTCTTTTTAGGAAAAACAAAATATGTTGTTGACTGTCAGGATAAAATGATAAGTTGAGAAGTCAAAAGTGAATCTTTTAATTTCTCATTTATAAAACAAAATCCATCCCAAATATTACATTTTTATTTTTCCAGGCTGAAATTTGAGACTTCCATTATTTTGTCGACGGTCGGTACTGTTCTTTCAATTGCAGGTTTGCAGTTTTCATCAACAATCACAGTTTTTCTTTCAAAATATGCTTCTGGTGACTTATTCACAGCTACATTTTTTCTCTCATCTATAAATTTATATATTGATGACTTCAAAGCTCTCGTCAAATGCGAGCATATTTCCATAAGAGTATCAACGGTATACAAAGGATTATGGTATTAATAAAAATAATTTTTTTTGTTATTAAAAAAAACTCATTTGCCCATTTGCTCATTTGTTTCACAGGAGAAAAAACTGTGATAGCAATTTTAATTCACACAATAAGTATAATTTTTCAATAACAATATTGTTCAAGACGAAAGAGTTTCATCATTAATTCTTATTCTACAGGTAATAAATGAATATTTGAAGCATTATTATATTTTATTGAATCGTGTCCTCATTCTCTTTACCAACGAAAATTATTGACTGATTGCAGGTATGCAATATATTAAAAAGTGCTTTTCATAGAGAGTATTGAAAATTTTGATCGAAATTCAAAAGTAAAAATGATTATGGTTGTTTGATAAAACATCTGTTTATTATTGATGAGAGTGTACCATATTTTTGTAACTCAGCCTATACATACAACTATAAACAATCTTTTGATATTTATTATGTCAAATTATACAACACTGAATGTTCAAAATAAATACTACATTTTTCACTTTTTAACCAACTCAGTTATGTACGTCCATGGAACAGTCACTTTACAAAAAATTTTTTTCAAGTTTTCAAGTTCACCTTTTTGAGTTGCCTTATTTTTCGAACAGACCGAATATTGACCTAATTCAATTTTCTATTATTTAATAAATATATTGTAATGACAGAACTAAAAAAAAAATTAATTGAATTTTGTTTATATTGTTTGATATAACCTTTGTTTATATCCTCTATCGTGTTTGAGATATGCCTTAAATAACGATATAAAAATATGTTTATTGTTTTCATGAAAATTATTACATACATATAAACCAACCACCCAAAATTTTATGCTAGGAATATATACGACAATGGTACCTGTTCAACAAATCATAACCTAAACCGCAATGCATATCAATATCATCGATATACAATTCAATCAGTTATCACTGAACAATTGGTAATGCCAAAATTTTGAACGTATACTGGATAGTAACAAGAAATGTTTTTCAAGTTCACCTCAAAATGACATTTAGGGTACTGTAAATATTTTGAAGGAATCAACTATTTACTTTGTGTACAAAACGATATCTTTTCAAGCAGTAGCGTAGCCAGGAATTTCGTTCGGGGGGGGGGGGGTCTGAAACCAGGGGGTTCCGTGAGTACTTCCAATTCTGAAATAGTCATTCAAAGTTACCTCATCTTTTAATTTTTTATTTTTCACCTTCATATCTTGTTATTTTATATTTTTGAAATTGAAAATATATCTTATTCAACTAGCAAATAACTAATTGATAGATGAATTTATATATGATCTTGAAAGAGTATAGTGTACAAATTTGCCTTGATCTCAAAAGCAAGGTAAGTTGAACTTGAATGACAATTTCAACTAGATCATTTCAAATGTACAATTGAACTTATGGAAGAATAAAATACTTTTTAAAATTGTTTTCTTATTTGATGACACAGTCAGTATAATCAAAAATTTCATTTTGAACTCCATATTATGCTATTTGTTCAACCTTCCTTGTCATTTATTAAACAATGTATAATTTTTTTTACCAATACTGATATTTTTTCTTTAGGTTTCGGTAGCGATTCCGGTTTTTCATCTGAAGTTTGCGGCACCCCCAAAGAGAAATTTTGCCCCAAAAACACCTTGGACGAGACTGACTGCTCAAAGTTGACAAGGACGAAATGGACTGCGTCTTTTCGAAAATTGGTGAAACGAATGAGGAAATAAGTTTTTCACTTATTCTTGATTCGAAGTTTTAGGTGTTTTCGGCTCAGTTGAATCGGATCGACTTTTGAAACGAAATGAAGATTTTTTCTAATCCTCGTTATATTCAATCTAGTTCTTTGTATGAGTGTTGTTCCAGCTTGTGGTGTATGCTAGATAGCAAGTGTGAATGACCTTTTGTGATTATTTAGTGTGAGAGTATCATTCCTCAATGTGTCAAATACTACTTGAAACCTAATATTATATCCTGATTATTTTTTATCTTAATATTGGCAGTTGATATTTATCTCAAAATGAACGAAATACTTCTCCAAAGGAGATCCCGTAATGAATAATTTTCGATGAAAAATGAAACAGGAATTGATTTTTTCTACAACTCAGTACAAAAGTGATGAAAGATTTACGTTGTTGCCGCCAACGAAATATAAAATGGGGACATTACTTTTATCCTTATCGAATATTGTTAATTCAACTCTGAAATATCGGGGATATAAATAGACGGACTCTGGTGGATGCTTTCTTTGATTTGTCAGGTTTATGATCTATGCTCCAACATATTATTCAACAGATTTTTAAGGTTATAGTGCATTAGTGTCAAAAAAGTTAGTTTTAATCTGATGTATAACAGGAAATTGAATAAAAACTTCAGTACTGTGGGTTGAATTTGACAAAGGAATTTTCAAGTGATGATTAAGTAAGAATTAGGGGTTCCATTGCAGCAAACTCTTATTGATGTAAAGAGCACACATCTGTGTTTGCTAAATTTCACATTCTTTCATATACATATCTTTCATATACTATCTGAAGCTTTTAATGATTATGATTAGTTTGAAAAAATATGACAAGTATTCCATATTGGTGGAAAACAACCTCAGAATGTTTCGAAAATCTATTATTATCCATTTTCCATTTGAGGACACTTCCGTAGTTCTAAAACAATAAAGTTAATTTGTTCTGAGAATTCATTTTTCAATTTTGCAATTCAACAATTTTAATATCTCTGGACTACTATTAAACTATCAAGAAGTTTATATAAAGATGAAGAAAGCATCATTTGGAGTTCGAAGATTTGTGAGAAAGAAGCTTTAGTTCATTTTTGATATGATCGTAAAAACAAACATGAGAACATTTAATCTGACATACAGTTTAGCACTATCAAAATTTTGGAATTATCCCCTCTTAATATTTAGCCCCTCTTAATATTTAATTGCATAAAACATAATAAATTCAATTCAATGTATATTTAATCTTTTTGTAATTATGAAGGGACTAAAAGAGATTTTTTCGATATGTTTTGAAATTCAATCAGATCTAGATTTGAGAAGAATAATCAACTGCTTTTAGTAGGAAAAAGTGAAATATTTAATATTTTGAAAAATGAACGTGCAGTTTATTATTACAAAGAAATTCAAAAATATTGTCTCTAGTTTTTACAGTTTGATTGTCGAATATTTTATTTATTGTGACAGTATCCAAATCAATGAATAAAAATGTCATCTATGAGATTTATGATTTAAGTTTTGTTAACTTGATGTTTCCCCAAAATACCAGTATTTTAGAAGTATAAGCAACATATCCGATGTGACATTTAATAATTCAAAATGATGATATTTGATATGACTCATTTTTCCAATAATAAATCGTTTGTTTCAAAATAATATATTTGAAGATATATCGTTATATGGTAAATAATATAGACACTAAAGGAAACAAATTAGATGACTGACTAGATTATTTGCTATTCTATGATCTCTGTGTTGAATTGAACGAGATCAATCCTTGAAAATGAAATGAGTGGGATGGAGTAAAACTATTAGAATATTGTTGTGAATATCTTGTTTCATTATGGTATAATAATCCAGTCATATCAGTCAAAATAGGCAAGTACATGGGAATTGGAGATAGTCAGCTATAAACCTTTATAAAGATTTATACCTTGGTTTATACTTGTATAAACCTTTATAAAGGTTTATACAAGTTCAAACCTGCCTGGGGTAAAACCACTAATATGACTGGACTATAATTAAAATGCCATCAGCGCTGGAATTGCCACGACTATAAATTTTATTGATATTTGCCTTTGTAAAGAGTTTTATCAAGTTTGGAACAGTGAAATAGTAGATTAAATTGGAAATAAACAACTTAGTTTAGAAACACCAGTTTCATGAAAGTATGAAATTGATGTATTTGATGTTGATCAGTTGAGATAATTTAATGATAACTGTTTTAAAAAAATAACGAATTTTATGTAAGGCAATTTTATCACAATTTGTTTTTGCAATTTGTGTCTCGCAATTCGGAGTTCAGTATTGGTAATTTTTTGAACATTCTGTATAGAATTTGGGCGAGTTGTTTTGTGATTATTTATTCAATTCAGCTCACACAAAATATGAAATTACTGTCTGTTAATCCAAATTATAATTTATTTGAATTGATATTCGTTTATGCATGTCTGAATTCTGCAAGAAGTTTTTCAATAAATGAATTACTGTAAGTATTTTTATATAACTCTTGCCGACTTGATATTCTTGAAATTTTATCTTAGGTAATTGTCTTTGTATATTTTGTTTTAATTTATTTTCTTATTTTTATCGATTATTGTTAACTGATGTATAATTTTGATTTTCCTAATGTTTACCACCAGTATTTCATATTGTAATTTTGTATGGACCATTCTTAGCGGTGGCAGCTTTCTACTTAAGTAAAATATAAGTATTTATACTGTTTTATACATTCCTTATACATAGTGCAAGGTATTCAAAGTGAAAATTGAATTTTTATACTCATCAAATTAAATATAAACAAACTATTTTTTTTGTTTTTTCTCTGTTAACTCAGCAATAAATATTAATTTGTTTTTATACATAAATAACCCTTTATTTCTGAGCTATGAAATAAGCCAAGTTTCATTTTTTCAGATATGAAAGAGCAATATCTATTTTTGGATTCCTTGCACTCTTGTTTAGTCACAAATAAGAACTAGTAATCACAGTGAATATCAATCCTAATTTCGGTCACGAAATTATTTTTGTCCAAAATGTGATATCAGCTACATTATGTTATTTTGAATAAAACTATTTTTTGACAGTTTTCAATGATTATTCATTCATCCCTATCCTCGAAAACAGATGCTTTTCATTCATCTATGAAACAATAAGTTTCAGCCATTTCATGCATGTTCCAATTAATACCTAACATTTTAATCTATTTATGCCCAGTGTAATTCAATGTTTATATGAAAGTAGCTGTTTCAGGAGGACTTTCTTTCAGTTTGTGTCTGATAGTTACTTCTTTGCATGATCTACACATCCATGTATAGTTATTTATTTTCAAATTGATTACTTCCTTCCTTTCTTTGGAATATTCCCTCATCCTTTTTTTGTATCAAGATGGAGTAGTAGAAAGCCAAAAACTTTCTTTCCCTAAAAATACAATTAATATTATAACATTTCGATTTAAAAAATACATAATGATGAAATAGGTTTGCTTTTCATCAGATAAATCTCAAGAATTTTGGTGAAATGTTATGACTAGAGGTTCTATAATTTTCTCAGAATGCTTTGACACAAACATCAATAAACTATCCTCAAGAAAACATGTGGGTAATGATGAGTCACTTTCTTTTTCCAGAAGGCGTCTTTATTCCAATAGACCAGCCACAGTAAAAATCAACCAGTAAGTCCACTCCCCCTACTTTCCCTGTTTCTAATCACTCAATAATAAAAAAACAACAATAATCAACTACAAAAACTAAAACCAATAATAACAAGAGTGAATAAACTAAACACAATATCAATTTCTGACCGTTTATATTATAACTAATTCGATACATGTGGTTCCGTCGAATCCTTCGATACTGCAGCACTGAACGCCTTGGCTGAGAATCTCATCCTAAGAGCGGTTGAAGGTCTCCGGCAACTCGGGCAGATCACGTGGTAAGTGGGCCAGCTGGTTATTGTTCTATTGTGGACCAGCCCTCTGAAAATGCTTGATGTGAACTTCTAATGTTTTTTCATCAGTTCGGACTACTATTGTCTAGTATAATATAAATTGATTTGATAATTGATATTATTAACAAAAAATTAAAAAATAAAAATTAAAAGATTTCAAACCAAGTTATGTCACAACGTTTCTATTGTTAGTATCCACAATCGTCTTCGGGTGATAACTGGACTTATTCCTCCGAGATCTGACTATTTATAGGTCATTCGAGTGCTTTCACCTATCCCCTCTTTCCGCTTCATTGGTTTTTCTGAAACCAGGGGGTTCCGTGAGTACCCTTCCGGGAAAATTTTGTAAAAACAGGGTACTAAATCTAAATAGAGGGTTTCAAAAATTAATTTTAACACTTTTTATAGCCGACATAATTGTTTTTTAAATTCATGATTTTTCAAATTCGAAATTTGACCAGCTGTACAAACACCGCCATTACACTATCCAAGCTGCCGATTTCAAACGTATCGTTTGATAATTCATGATTTAAACAAAAGGACAAACCTAATTGGTATGATAATTTAATGTTTGTAGACAAGAGTAATGATAACTTTTCTATTTTTCACCTGCTCCATTTTTAATTTATTTTTTAATATGTTTTCAAATTTAGGGGTGGGTCCGGACCCTCCCACGTTAATTATATTTCTTTTTTTAATATTTTTCATTTTTCAAATTTAAAATCATTACCTCAAGGTATGCTGCATCCTGACAACCCATTTTTTGACTTTATTGCATATTTCAACTGATAAGTTAGAGCTTTATGTTTCTATTTTTTTATCCAGTGCTGGATAGAACAAATCTCTTCAAACACTCCGCATCGAAAGGTTTATGTAAGTCCAACAAAAAATACTTTTCAGTGGGTCTATTCTGATAGCCATCATATAAAAAAAATGTAATAAAACAGCACGAGGACATCAACGAAACAAAATTATGGCTACTAAAAATTAATTTTCGAAGGTCTAACTTAAAAACACGCTCATAATTTTCATTTTGTCTTTCCTTATCCATTTATTTCCCAAATAAAGAATTGTTATCGCCCCCCAAATCAACCAGACTTTGCCTCCAAAGTTTAGTTTGAAATTATACTTGACCTTCTCGTGACTTTATCTTCATCCTTCATCTTCACTTGCACTACTTTCATTCACCCCTGTGACGATCAGTCACCCGAAAAATGGGTCACCTATACCTATTTTCTTCTGCAGCTTACAGGTTGACTGTCCAAGGTTTTAGGCCACGCACTTCTGGCCAAAATTATTTTGTTACTTTCTTTTGGTGTTCATATGATGGAAGTGAAAACTCCAAAGTCTAAATATAAAAAATAAATTTATAATGAATTTAAAGGCTTGTTTGACAGTCATAAAGAAAATAGGAGGTTTTTCAATTACAAAGAAAAAATTAAGATGTAAAGTTTGAATAACCTTAAAACGAAAGAAATCTTATCAGATAGTTACTTTTTCCGCACCAGAATAAGAAAAAAATGAATGCAAAAGTGGCTTTCAAAACTGCTGGGACTTCAACAAGTGTTGGGCAGCTCGAAAGACAACACGATGAAAAGAAGGAACAAGTCTGTGATTTACGAAATGGCTTCCAGAATTTCGATAAAAAGTATGTTGGTCAAACTAAACGAACTAAAATAGGCTGTTACAAGAACCACGTGTAACGTAATATGTACCGATAATACAACTCATAACTATAATACAATGTTTTATAGTAAAACATCTTCTGACGATGAGTTCTGTTAATTCCACAGGTCCCTTGAGAAACGCAATTTTGAAGTGCAGATAATGATAATATTTAGGCAGATTGTTTTATAAATTACAAAAAAAAATAAATGAATTGTAATTTTCACTACATAATCTTACAGTTGCAAAGAAAATACGAGGTCTTTTCAAAAAATAAGGCGAATGTTGAAATTTCGTGGGATATGTTTATTCCTTCAGGGATTTTTCAATTTTTTTAAGTTGGTACACTCGTTTCAGCTGTTTAGCATGTTTAGTTTGTTAGTGCGACAAATAAAAGTTAGAAGTGTTTTGCGAGTTCAGCGATTTTCTGCTACAAAAAAACATTGTGAAAAAAATGGAAATAAGTGCTCAAATTACTTGAAGTGTTGATAGTGGCATATAGTGATTGTACTCTGAGTCTGAAAAAAGTTTATAAGTGGTACAAGCTTTTCACAGAAGGTCGAGAAGATGTAAATGACGACGCTCGCCCTGGTCGCCCCAACAACCGATGAAAATGTTGAGAAAGTGAAGAAAATTGTTATGGAGAATCGTCAAATCACTATAAGAGAAGTTGCTGAGAATGTAGGCATATCGGTTGGCTCATGCCAGACAATTTGGAAATTTTGGGCATGAAGCGTGTGGCAGCGAAATTCGTTCCAAAATTGCTGAATTTTGACCTAAAAACCCGTTGCATGAGCATCGCTCAGAAATTGTGGAATGACGTCAACGGCGATTCAGATTTGCTTGAAAGGGTCATAACTGGTGACCAATCATGGGTATATGGTTGGCATCGAAACCAATTCATTGCTTTTGTATCGCGATAATGCACCTGCTCGCTCGTCATTGCCTGTTAATAATTTTTTGGCCAAAAATAACATTGTAATCATGCCGTAGCCACCGTATTCATCCGATTTGCCCCCCTGCGACCTTTTCTGTTTCTAACGTCGGAGAGACCCATGAAAGGATGGCGTTTTGCGACCATTGAGGAGATAAAAACCGAATACAAGTATATTATATCTGAGAGGGACTACTTTGAAGGAGACAAAATAAGATTGATGAATGAATAAATATTTTTGAGAAAAATATTTGCCTTATTTTTTGAACAGACCTGTATTGAGTTCATTCAATTCTCTTATATTGAAAGAATATATTGTAATGACTGAACTGAAAAAAAAAAAAAAATTGAACTCTGTTTATATTGCTTGTTATATCGATTGTTTATATCCTCTGCCATGTTTGAGATCTGCCTCAAATAACGATATAAAAATATGCTTATTGTTTTTATAAAAAGTATTACATATAAAGGAAAAGGTTGACTACCAACCGCCCAAAACGCATATCAATATTATCGATACAGTATTCAATCAATTATTACTGAACAATTGGTATTGCCAAAATTTTGAACGTATATTGGATAATGGGCCTGTCGGTTTGTTTTAAAATAACTAGACAGGAATCTACTTTATACGTATAATTCATTTCAGTGATTCCCACGGAAAGCACTTTTTGAAAATTTTGCTAACTGTTGTTCATTTTAAGTACCTATACAGTTTCACCTGTCTGCTTTCAGAAAAAATACTAATTTTGGCGGAGGCGACGATGTTTCAATTGTATCGATGTTTTTTACAGGGTTCTATAAAATTCTTTAATGAATCTTCACTATACTTTGTCGATTAAGGCAGTTAGCGCTACACATAAACGTGCAGTTTGCTAACTGAAGCAAGAAAGTAATATCTCATCGTTTTTTCTTTCATGTTAATCTTTTCTAGAAATGTGACAAAATGTGTAGTAGGTTGAAAAGAAAAAAAAATTCAAAATTTAGAAAAAAATCTGAATAGGTTTGGAGAAAAGCTGCGTAATGACGGGTCACAAAGCCTCATCTTATTGGAAGAAAATATCTTGTACTTCTCGAAGTGAATACCTGAAAATTATATTGAACAGTACTGCCCGATAGTTGAAAACCATTTAATGCACATTTAACGAAATTTTCAATGTATAGATAGAAACCTATGTTGAGTGCAATATTATTAGTTCAACACGTACATCTAGAACTGAAATGTGCATTTAATGCACATTACACGAAATTTTCAATGTATAGATAGAAACCTATGTTGAGTGCAATATTATTAGTTCAACACGTACATCTAGAACTGAAAACAAGAATGTATTGAAAATAAAATAGAGAAATATGTGAAAATAGTTTCCCATTACGATTCTCATAAGTAATGTTTGTGTAATGTCTTTATCTGGTATTTATTTTGTGAAAAATAACTTGTCCCTCATAAAAAAATTAATAATATTACCTTTATGCCATACAATTTATTTGACTAAAATTCTTTGTCTTGAACACTTTTCATTTTCATTATAAATATTGACATCACATTTATTCGTTTGTGTTATTCTTACTCTCGATACAAATGATACTAATAATGCATAAACTGTGGAATAACTCAATGAGTAGGTAGATATGTATATATACAGTGTCACCGATAAAGTCCGCATCAAATGGGAAACTTTTTTATTTATCGTTTAATGTGAAATTTGATTTTGGCAGTAGATTTTGCTTAAGAAATGATGTCAAATGGCGTCTACAAAATAGGTCACGTGATTTCCTTAACCTGTNTATATATATATATATATATATATATATATATATATATATATATATATATATATATATATATATATATATATATATATATATATATATATATATATATATATATATATATATATATATATATATATATATATATATATATATATATATATATATATATATATATATATATATATATATATATATATATATATATATATATATATATATATATATATATATATATATATATATATATATATATATATATATATATATATATATATATATATATATATATATATATATATATATATATATATATATATATATATATATATATATATATATATATATATATATATATATATATATATATATATATATATATATATATATATATATATATATATATATATATATATATATATATATATATATATATATATATATATATATATATATATATATATATATATATATATATATATATATATATATATATATATATATATATATATATATATATATATATATATATATATATATATATATATATATATATATATATATATATATATATATATATATATATATATATATATATATATATATATATATATATTACAATGTAGGTTTTCACGGATGGTAGAATATGATGTGTTGTTTTTCCGGGTGTTCATCCGTTGTGTACTATTTTGTACTATATTTGAAGATTATCACTTGGTGATCGAAACACGTGTCGAGGTGTTAAAATAACGGTTTGGAGTTGGGAAAAAACTCCAGTAATATTCATACATTTTATTTGTGGGTAAAATTCGTAGAGACGAAAATTACTGAGTAATTGGACTCTTCAAAGGTTTATATTACACAGAAACTTTTCGACCTTTGCATTTAGTCTTCATTACACTCAGCAGTTTCTCTGTTCACATGTTCATTTCTCAGATTGTGGAAGATAAGAAACCAAAAAACCATCATGGAACGAAAACTTTACGTGTTTTTGAATTTCCTTGAAAGGTTTTTTCCCTAAAAGTACGTTTTTGATAACCAACTCCGTATTCAATTCAATCAATCGCAAACATTAGTCTATGAATTAATATCTCGACTCAGCAACTTGTATATTTCTGTTTGCGAAATATGATTTTAGGAAATTTTGGTAGTTCATGAAAACCCAGCTGAAAGTGGCCTTCTGAATAAACTGGACTATTCCTCATTGGCGCAAATGTGTGTCAGTATCGAAAACCTCAGTTTGTTTTCAACACAGACACGCAGGCCACGCGCAATAACAATTGAATCCAGTCAGCACGTGCTGTTCCACTTGCTACAACGTTTTGTACTAGGTCGTGAATGGCTGTTGATGAGAAAGAACACAAGGGACACAGGGAAAGGGGGTACGTATGCGTTTCTTGAAATCATATGGCGCTCTTTTCGTAAATAGTTATCGAATCGGTGGTGTGCTTTTCTAGTGATATTTTCTTCTATAATTCTCATTAATTCTTCATTTTTTCACATAACTCTTAGTTCGAGAAATTACCTTGATGGTAATGAAGGTAACTATGATCGAATATATATCACAGCATCTGTACTATCTATTCTCTATTCTCTTTGATGAGAACATTTCATTTGACCCTTACGTTCTCTTAGTATCTCCCTAAGTAATTTTCATTGCACCTATTTCACTATCTTTTGCATGATATTACCGATTAGTTTCTCATCAGAATGGTGCACCTTCTGATTATGCAGCTTCAGTATGACAATTTTTGAATGATCATTTTCCTGGTCGCTGGATTAGCAGAAAAGGTACTACAGAATGGCCACCAAGGTTTCCGGATCTCACTCATGTAGATTTCTTTCTATGTCCCCATTTGAAGTCTAAAGTGTATGAGACATAATCAACATTAGAAAATTTGAGAGATGATATTATGAGGCATTGCAGAGAAATAACTCCCGAGATTCACAACCAGTGAGGGAGGCAAAGGAAGCTCGTTTGTACCATTGTATGGAAGTTTTTGAACATTTACTATAGCGTTTTTTTCGTAAATAGTTATCGAATCGGGGGTGTGTGCTCTTCTAGTGAAATTTTTGTCTAGAATTCTCATTGATTCTTCATTCTTTCACATAACTTTCAGTTCGAAAAATTACCTTGGTAATGAAGGTAACTATAACTGAATATATGCCACAGCATCTCTACTATCTATTTTCTATTCTCTTTCATGAGAAAATTTCATTTGATCCTTACGATCTCTGTAATATTCATAGTACTTATTTTATTTTTAAACAGTGGCTTTTCCTAAACATTTATCTTTGGAATGCCTATGATTGTTTAGCTCTTGCTTAACCTCTGAGGTTTGGAGGTTTGTTCGTTTCTTATTTGGGTATCTATGTTATTACTATGTAGATTACCTGTTTATCTGCTCTCAGTTTTCATGATTCACCTGAACGTCCTGAAGGATCACTTGCAATCTTCGTGCAACTGGATTAACACGTTCTTGGATGAAAGTTGGTAAATTATCGAGCTGTTGTGACGGATTTCCACCAAACGGAGTTGCTTGCAACTGGTAGTGGTTTTCAAAAACAGAAACGAAAAACTTGTTTTAGTTTGGAAAAAAAATTCGAAACACAATTCCATCTTACAGATAAAAACTAGTCTAAGCCGCATGTTTTGTTGTCAACTGTTTTCTGCCGTTTCCAATAGATGAACAGCAATTAAAAAATTGATGCATTATCAACTATATATTCCTTTTTTTTCGCACATATTTTGCAGAGGAAAATCAAATATCATTTTTGTTTGAGATGAACAACAATACAACAAATCAATGGAAATAGCCAGCCTAGTTCCGATAATCAAAATTTACACCCACCACAGAATAACAAAAAAATATATATGTTTGAAATCTGTTTTTTCCGTTAATCAGCTATCGCACCCCTATGAACGACAACCCTCAGAAGTCGAAACTTGTGCGAGCTAGGGACTAACGAGGTCTTACCTTTCAACCTGTGATTCCTAACAATTCAAATAAAGTTATCTCACCGACTATTTTCACATAGCGAATTTAGTTTACCAAAACCCCGACAGAAAAAATGTTCCTTCGCCATTATATTTAAGTACACATTTAAACTTTTGGTGAAAGAAACATTATTGGAATGCTTTTGAATTATTTGTCTTATACCGATAGAACTAACCAGTATATAAATCTAAAGAAATGAACTTTAAATTTTCAAGCCCGAATAGAATGATAATCCTATAGAGGATTATTTACTCATGAGTTTTTCAAACATTTAAATTCGAATATTCGTACATTCTCAATGTATTTCATGTTGAAGTAGCACTTCTTTATATTAAGTGTGAATAAAAGTGAACTCCACCCACTTCCGAAATAAGTATTATTCCTTAATGTTCAATTAGTGTAATGAACTCAATTCATCATTCTTGACACAATCGATTTAAACACGAATTGTTAAACCGCATGATAAACTATATTATAAAATGCAAACTAGCAATCATTTTGTAAAATGGTTGCTCTGTCCACTTAGTCGACTTGAGAGGCATATATCAGATTCCAACTCCTTTGTTGTCTCTAAGGGACACTCCGGTTTCCCCCTCGAGAAATAAAGATGAATGCAATCAATTATCAGCCTTTGCTTAATCGAAATTAAGTATACACTCGCCAATTTCTATTCAGAAATTAACTCCAATGTAACCGATAAAAGTCAATATCAAAGTTGGCAGTTTCGGCGGCTTGTCTCGCATTGTTACGATGACCTCCTGACCTAGATGAAACCTCCATATCAGAACAACTTTGACTCATTCTTGTCCAACACTTCAGGAGTCATGATCGAGTATAATGTAGCACGACATTATTTAATTATGTTTCAGTTGAAAGAAGGAAATTCATTTTTCCGCCGACGGAAAAAGTTTCGAAGAGCTCTGAATTTACTTTGTTTTCGGGACATTCTGTTCACATGATTTGAATGAGTTTACAATTTTAGATTGATTGGACACTATATCATCATTACATTAAGGATTGTAATCTCCCTATAAATTGACACCTGACACCTGTCGGATATAATCCAACGCCCTTGGTGGTAATAACCAGGGGAATAGTTGCTTTCTGATAGATGTCAGTCCATTAACCTACAGTATACGTGAGTTGAGACTGACCTGAACAAATTTTTCCTTTAGATGATTTAATTTCATCAACCTATCACTTTTCCTGATCACCAGAAATCTTCTAGATGCGTGTTTCACCAACCAAGTCGGTGTTGTTCGTCATTGTGAAATATTCGGTTTCGATTGATTCAGGGAAATATACAGATTACCACTGCCTGTGACGAACACCATCAACTTTTCTGATTGAGGCTGAAGTGACATGGTTAATTTGATGAATATTTGAGAATTGAAAGATGCTGCCAGGCAAATCTTCTCGATTTTACAGAAATATTATACCCAGACAATGAAACATGAACCAACAATTTCAGCTCACGCAATACAGAATATTAATTGAAAGAAATGTCATTGATAGCTCAGGAAAAACACAAATTGGTAGGTCTAAATTTATTATAGGTTTGTTAGGTTCCTTATGAGTGAAGAAACATACGAATATTGAGAAAAATGGGACACAGAGACATAGTTGAAAGAAATGAGTCACTGATATGTATTGGGTTGTGGAACTGTACCCTGTTGAATACAAATACAGACGACTTTCAGAGTTATAAACTAGTTTACTTCATATCTCGAAGACGCCAACTTGGTTGGAGAAACACGTGTAGAGAAGAGTGTGGCAGTTTTTTTGTTTGGAAAAAGTGGTTCTTTTTAAATTATTCGGTAACTTATTTCGTGGGATTTCTTTGATTTACTTCCTTACTTCAGCAAAAACAAATCATTATAGTAGTAGGATGGACAGTGCAAATAATATGAATAAAGAATGCTGGAAAGTGATTAATGAATTGAGGGGTAAATACAAAAAGTATCAAGAAATTTCAATAGACGCCAATGACCTAAATACTTATTATTGCAACATAGCACGTGAGATAATTAACTCAATTTCTGTACCTCACTCTGCTTTNAATGGGATTAAAATCTACAACCATCTTCCGACAGTTATAAAGGACAGCGCATGCATTAACCGTTTCAGAAAATCGTCCAAAAAACTACTGCTTGAAATCTCACCCTATACCCTTAATGAATATTTTTCCTCCACTTTTGACTTATTATCTTAATAACTGTATGTTTACTACGTGGGCTGCTCATAAAACATCTCAGCATGTATCCATATAAGAATATAAAAATCATGTGTAGACTTGTAAAACATGTATAAATCTCAATTTATGTATATTAGTATTAGGATTTAGATATTGAGATTTTTTACATAGATGTAATCTAACTAATTGTCTGACCATATCACATTGTATAGCTTTGTCTACGAGAATTATGTTCTTCTGACAATAAAGCATATCTTGATTGATTGATTGATATATTAGTTGAGCGATGCCAAATTCTATCAATTAGTTTATTGGTACGACTTTGAACCAGATACACTTTTCGGTGATACTACGAGAAGGAGAGTAAATGGATGTATGGAAATATTATTATTTTGGCAGAGGAAAGAAAATCTTGCTGACTGAATTCAACAGATTCTACCTGAATGAAAACTGTTTGTAGTTACCCGAAATCTTGATTTTGGTGACCCATGATATCTTCGATAGCATGACATTTTTTCTCAATGAAATTCTAGCTTTCAGATGTGAATATTCATTTACTAACAGTTTTTCATAGTTGTTTACTACTCCAACAGATGAAACAACACAACGATGGACTGCATATACAAACCAAAAAATTAACAAACATCTTCAAACCCTTGAACATCAACATCAATTACAAACCGAACACGAAAATAACACATAAAATAAACAGGTATGAAAAAGAGGTTGACAAAAACCTAAACGGAGTGTACAGCATACAATGCTTGGACTGTAACAAATTCTATATCGGACACACCAAGAAAAAACTGATCCAAAGGTACGACGAGCACAAAAAAGCATACATAAACCCAATAACATACAAATCAAACCTCGCAACACACGCCATACAAAACAAACATAACTTTCCCCAACGAGAAAACATCAAACTCATAAAACAAGTCAATAAAGGAAACCGTATGGTCATCTGGAAAAACCTGAACATCCATAATTTGAAACGTCATAATTCACTTATCAAGAAAAAAATACAAATCAATACACAACAAGACCTCACATTCAATATACTACACCTAGAGAAACACCAACACAAAGAACATTACCTGATGTAACCCAAATACAGGCAAATTCAAAGAGACATTTTGATGAAAGGGGGGACAAATACCTGCATTGAGGCTTTCTAAACGTATAAAAG